CTTGACCACGTTGGCACAGGGGAAGTGGTACTAAGGCCAGTGCGGGACACCAAGAGAAAGCACGTGGGCTCTCTGGCCCACCTAGAGCATCCTTTGACCTGCCAGCCCTGGGACACCTCCCCATGCCTTCTCTCTGCTTGGAAGGGGAAAGCAACAAGCAGAGATGATCCCTGTCTCCATAGCTGCAGGATGGCTCCTTCCAGTGCCTGGTCAGTACCCCTCTCTCTTTGCATCTATCTCCATCCACTTTTGGCTTTTGCATCCTAAACAAGCCTTTTCTTCTTCCTCAGAGGAAACCTCTCTGCACAAGGCAGTCTCAATCCTAAATACATCCCTGGGTCACTGGCTGACCATACGTCCAGCCACGAGAGGCACAGAGACGCTGCTGATCCAGGCTGACTTTGTTGCTCCCTGAGCAGGGAGGACGTTTGCAGAGGCTGCCTCTCGGAGAGGAGCAGAGCTGGAGCATCTCTGCAGTTCAAAACTTGAACAAGGCTTTTGTGGCTTTTAAAGGCCCACTCCAGCCCATTCTGTGATTCTGTCCCATGCAGGTTGGGTGTTTGCTGAACAGGGTGAAGCTTCTGAGCTCATCTGATTTCTCAGCATCTCTGAGTGACATATCAGTGATACCACTGGCCTGGGTCTGACTGTTACCATCTCCAGGAAAATATTCCCAAAATGAGACCATACGAAGAGTTCTCACACTTGAAACTCATTTGTTTAAATAAAAGAAACACCAGAGATCTCTGCTTCCTCCAAGACATCTGCTACATCTTCCCTGACCCACCTCTGCTGAGAATTTGTCAATCGCTCAAATTTCTACACCTTCCCACGGCCGGGAACCCCCTGCCCTCTCCTTCTGGCTCTATCTGCCAACTGCTGTGTCTCTTCCAATGTCTTCTTGTCATTCCACCAATTATTCTTCCTCCTGAAATTATTACCATCATTTTTATTTAAGTAGGGCTTCCCCCCTCCTTTTCAAAGCTCCCTGGATTTGAGGTTTCCTTATTTGCCATCTTGCAGGGTGGATCAACTGCAGCTGCTTAAATTATGGGGCTTCATTCTTGGTGTACATGCTGTGGATGGAAAAAAAAAGGAAGGGCTTTCTGTCAGCTTTGTGTTAAATTGGTGACTTTTATTAAAAGGGAGCTTGTTCGGCGAGTGGCTCCTCCGGATTTAAAGGCAGGAGAAAAGAAACATCAATCTCATGTTGAAGTAAGAAGACAAACAAACGGCTTGGACAGCCGCTCACTCCTTGAAACATTCTTTGCCCAATCTTGGGAAAGCAAGAAAATATGCCATTATTGGGGTTTTTTTTTTCCACGAGCAGGGCTGTTTTGAGGCTGCATGTGAGACTTAAGTCATAACCTAGAGCTCTGCGCAGCAATCGAGACGTGACATCAGGATGGAGATCTGCGCTGAGACCTTGCAGAGGGCAGGAACTGTTGGGTTTGCTCCTCTTGGACCCATCTTACTGTCTGTGTGGGTAGAGGGAGAAAGGCTTTGTCCATGGTTTCTACCACCTCAGTCCAGGAAGATGAAGCCTGGAGCAAGGTCCTCATTAAGGATCTGGTGCAGCGCTGGAGCCGGGTTTCCATGGTGACCGGGGGATGTTGCAGATGGGTTTGGTGCCTTGGTTGGGCTCCACAGCCCTGAGAAATGCTCTGTGAGTCATGGGGTGGAAGCATCTTTGAGTGCTGGTGAGGGCAGAGCATGTTGCCCAGCCCTAATCTCGCCCTTCAGCCACCCTGGAGAAAAGAGGCAAGACGTTGCTGCCCAGTGCCCCTGAATGTGGTGTGGAGAGATGCATGTGAAAGCCTCAAAGCTGAGGTCCTTCAGTAAAGGTACTTCCTCACATCCTTGACTCAACCTCTGGATCCTTCCTGGAACAGGGACCAGGATGGGAGCTGCCTCCTCCCAAAAAAACCACCTTTTTTGGAAAGCAGTGATGGTACTCATGGGATGTAGGAGACTGGCAGCAAGCTGGGAGCCTGATGGGGCCATCGCATTTTAGAAACAGTTGCCTTCATCCCCAAGGAGAGGCAGATACGCATGGGTTGAGGAGGGATGATGGCATACAGAGGACCTGTCATGGGGGAGAGACGCCAGAGCAGCGTTCTGGATAGCTTCATCTTATTTGCCGGCCTTGCAAAACAAATTACCAGACGTGTTCTTGGAGAGCTGTACCTATCTTTGAAGCATCCTTGGCCTTCGTTTTATCATCCCAAACAGCATTAAATGCTTGTTGGGGAGGCATCTTATCAGGCGCATCTACTTGGAAAGGCTTGAAAGGCTCTTGTCATGCTTTTCTTCATGTGTGCTTTGAATTTGTAGCTCCCCCTTGCCTGGAGAATCCCACCAACCTCGGAAATGTATCCAAAAAGGAGATGATGCGCCCATCCTGAGCAGAGCTGATGTTAATGGGGCTGTCACACCTGCGGCACAGCTCCCTCCTGCCAAGGCGCCCGCAGCCGGACCGGGCACTGACTCATTGGCAGGACCGGCCATGCTGCTTTGCAGGAGCTGGTTCCCTGGTGTGATAAATGCTGCTTGAGTAGCCGGAGAGGGGAAAAGCCAAATCGGCACAAAGCGGGGTTAGTACTGGCGGCAGAATCTGGTTTCCTTGGCTGATCTGCCGACCCACTGTGCTTTGGGATGAATCTCACTGCCTCACTGTGCACCAGCTTCTTCTCCATGCACAAACTGCAACGATGGCCGGACCTGAGAGGGGACGGGGCTGTCACAGTCACTCTGGGTTTGCTCAGCGTCAAATGTCCTCAAAGCTCCTGAGGGTGGTTTGCTGCCTTCGTCTTGGGTCAGCCGAGTGCAGTGAGATGCAGCTGTCACACCCCATGTCCAGGACACTCGTTGCGTGGTGTGGAGGCCAGCAGAAAGGTGACAGCCCTGGGTTTGACCGTGGTGGGGTTTCCAAGCCTGCTGTCTGCGTCAGGGAGCTGCGTGGCCAGTCCTCTGCAAACAAGGCTGTGCCCTTGGAGCAGCAGAAAGCCTTGGGCAAAGCTGCTTAGCTGGTATAAAGGCTAGGGAAGAACCTGGCTCTGAAACCACGGCAGGCTGCCACTTCCCGCTGTCCGGGAGGCGTTGGCTCAAG